ATGAAACATGCAACTCCTCTTCGTATTCTTTTTTAAGATCTCGTGCCACTCAGATGAGAAAAACCGGAAGTTTTCTCTTCTTCTTTTTCACGTGAAGCGATGCAGAAGTGTCTGAGCGGAACACATTAATTAAATCTCGCTATGAGACTCTTTAAGCTCTATATCTACGTAGGTTGACCCATGACCCCCGCAAGAAATTAATACAGTGTTGAGTGGTGTAAATGGCACGGCGGGGACAGGGCGTCTATTTCGGGTGGGACGTTAGAGAGTTATTTTCAGAAATTGCACGCCAATTAGAAGAGAGACGGCAAATTTTATTCTAAGTTCGGATTCACGACGCGGTACGGGCATCAGTTTGCAGGATGGCAACTTTCAGCCACTCTCGGGCAGCATATCGATGGCTAAAATGCGAAACCATGTATCTCCATTGTGGTGTTTTAAAATCTCTGCTCCTGGATTATTTTTGAAGAGAAACAAGTCAACTTAATGGCTTGAAATTTAAAGAGAACATTTCGCTGACTGCGGAGAAAGTCAGTGAATTTTTCATGAAATTTCGTTGATCAGTTTTCCAGGGGAAGAAGAAATAATTATAGGAAGTCTGCTAGGTCACAAGAGAAGATACGTGGTTCTTCACTTCGGCCATCGATCTTCAGGAGCTATTTTGGCCGTTCAAAAAAGTAGTATATCACCTCACCTTCCTCATTGTGACGGAGGATTCATAGATCAAAAATTTGTCATCAAAATCAATGTTTCATTCTCGCTAACTCTCTGCGTTTACTTCTTTGTGAGGAAGGATTTCGATGACTGGAGTCTAAAAATGCGTACCTCCGATCCTCCGTTTTTGCTTCATTTTTTAAAGAGAAAACTAACCGAGATTTTCCTTTTAATTCTCAGTGAATTTTCCTCGCCCATTCAATTCATAATTATAACAAATTTTGATGAGGTATTTCTTTAACAAAATAAACAGATTTTAGGACACTGCGATGGAAATACGCAATTTTCAACTTTTCGCTATCGATTTTTTCCTAACGTTTACGACTAAAAAAAAGTATCATTTTACAGACCGAGAGTTCGTTTTCCTAATTCTCGGTCGAAATAACTCTTGGAAAGCGACATAGAGAAAAACTGAGTTCGCGATCAATTCGCATTCACAACAAATTTCGCGAAACCATCATTGTAATTTTCCCTCCATCTCGTTTTATAACTCTAGACCAATCTAACTCATACTATAAAACTCACAAAACATTGACTTTTCTGTACGATTTGAAGCTCAAGAGCAGCAATAAAAAGTAAATACCTCAGTAAATTTCCGACGCTGACTCATTAACTTTAACCTACTTTCTGCAGCTTCAAAGTCTCCGAGGAGATAAATTGCTCTCTTCAAATTTAGGATGTTTACCAGCTTTGTTCTGCGACAGACAGTTTGCATGTTCGCTACGCCTGCCGGATTATTTTTAATCTCATTCAAACTGGACCTGTTTCGTTTTTGCTAACCTGAGTTGCTTTGTTTACGGTCTTAAAAATATCCCCCGGGACTGATTTGACACACGCATAACTGTGTCACCCGGTGGTGAATCATGACAAGCTTGAAAACTCAAAGTTAGCGGTCTATTTTAGCACTTCCATCAGGCGCCGCGGAGAGCTAATTTCGTAAGAATACTAAGATGCATCAACTATCTACTGCACTACTACACGATGCGCTCATCGTGATTTTCGAGCCATTTCCTAGATGAAATAAACACGTTTGTTTTACTCAAACGGAAGTGTGCACCAGGCCCACAATCTATCTGAGTTTAAGTCTGAATCAGGTTGGCCCATGCAAAAGTCGAGTCAGCTTTGATGGCATCTGATACTATCGTAAATATTAGGAATCTATTAGTAAATCTACATACTTTATGGTAAAACTACACGTTGAGCAGAGTAGATCGAATAAGGTAGTTTTATCTTCATACCGCGCACAGTGGATCGAGTCAATATGAGAGGTCAGACAAAATTCGGAAATTTTCATCGCTCATAACTCCGTTTATATAAAACTTTGAGGTTCTAAAGGTACTTTCATTGGTTTCCTTGGACATTTTGTTTTAGAGGAACTTCTGAAAATTCAAGACGTGACGAAATAAACATCATAATTTGCAATTTTAGTCCAAAATTTCATGTTCGATCTCTCTAATTGACTCGATCCACTGTGTGGCGAGGGAGCAACTCTGGTGTACGGTAACGAAAGCTGAGGTATTGTATAAAGTTTACAAGTCAGAGAAATTCAACGCACTCATCTGCTAATCAAGACATTTTCAATGCGGTGCGTATTAAAAAGATAGATAAAACGGGTATAAAATTTCACGGCACGCTGCGTTAAACTGCGATTCGCGGTTTTCCAACTTGGGGGGGCCTTGCGCAGCTTGCGCTAGCGCCCCGACCTCCAAAGTTCACTGTGTACTTTAAAGCGGAAGAATTTATGACCAGCGCCGGGATGGGATTTTGGCGTCTGTTTACCTGCACGCGGTGGGTCGGCGCGGAAGACGTAAAAGTTAGGGTCAGGGCAAGGTTGGTCCAAGCTTGTCTAATATTAGAGGCTCGTCTGGTCGCAGTCATGAAGGCACAGCCATCGCCACTGTTGCCTGTGCGTAAGGCATTTGAGGTATCAAATTGAGATTTTATCGGTGGTTTCGGGATGTTTGGCAACGCTGGGCACCGCGGAATTCGCATCTGTGCCAATTTGGCATTTGCAGTTCAGTATCAATTATCGTTCGATGAATTTCAATGCACATGTCTATCGAGCTTTGCACCCGTCAGCCTGTGCAATGTTGACACACTAGTGGCACGCTGAGAGGAAAGAAGAAGACATGGACTCTCGCATAGAAAAGCTGTTAGTTTTCATTGAGGAGAACAGGATTTCAAAGAGGAAAACATGGGCTATCTTTCGCACTCATAACAGTTTGCATAACATTTCATGCGATCCCTCTCATCGAAAAATTTAGTAACTAATTTTTTTTTTAAAAACAATTCAATGAGTCATAGACTAACTTTGTCATAAATTAACCGACTGTCAATTTTTTACATTTGATAAAAAGGTTTTTGATGCTCTTTCATTTAAAACAAGTTCAACTCGATAACTGCAACCGTGCAAAAGTTATGACCTAAAGTTGATTTTTCTTTGACCCTCCTCCTCCCGAGGGGGCTGGATTAAAAACTCCGCCATTTTTGTACTTCTCAAACCTTCCTCTACGAAAGGTGAAGGTGTGACAAGATTCAGTTCTGCGCCAAATTCTTAGGGGAGATGCATGTCCACTCCTCAATCCATTAAAACCAAACTTTCAGTTTCTTCTCATGGTCCGACAACAATGGAAAACTTCTGGCTTGCATTTCCACCACTCACCGCCTCCAGACATGCATGAGAAAAGCGAACATAGAAGGACACTCAAACGGACAAATTAATATTCCGGAGCTCGGGTCCGGTGTCTAGCACCTGGTGCAAAATGCGTGGAATCGATATGGGGATCGTGATGAAATGAAGAAAACAACAAACTTGACCCTTGCATTTCTGTAGCTCTGCCAATACGCAAAAGCAGGCCCGCCCGCGCATTATGGTCATTGCGGATAACTGACCTGTACGCGAGCGGGCGCACAGTGGATCGAGTCAATCCGGGAAGTTGGACATGAAATTTTTGACTAAAACTGAGAATGTTGGTGTTGATTCGGCACATTTTAAAGTGTAAGGGGTGTATCTGAAAGAAAATTTCACGAGAAAACCAATGGAACCACTTTTGGGACCTCAAAGTTGTGTATGAACGGAGTTATAAGCTTTTAAAGTTTCCAAATTTTGTCCGAGCTCTCCCATTGACTCGATCCACTGAGGGGCGTCGCGAGGAGACTTCGATGTTTGCTCCTTTTTTCATCGCGTCCTCTGTTGTTCTCTTTTACGTGCTGCTTAGCTCATGTAAACACGCTGGAGAGTACAGTGTGGGTCAGAAGTCACGGTAAGACAAAGTGCAAAAATCGTCACCTTCCGGCCGAAGTATCACAAGCGCCTCGCGACGTCACAAAATTTCCGCCGCCATTTTATTTTTTAATAGAGAATTTGTTGGTTGAATCTGTTGGAAAATTCCACTGAATTTTTTCCGCAGCACAGAGAAGATTCAGAGAAATTAGTCGCATAACCTCATTGAAACATTTCTCTGCGAAGAAACAAAATGGCGGGGGAAATTTTTAAAACGTCGCATGGCGCTTGTGATACTTTGGTCGGAAGGTGACGGTAATAAAAAATGTTAAATCCACTCGAGGCTGTCTGAAAATTCATTTTAAATGTTCTATATATGAAAGAAGTAAAATTGAGAAATAACTGCTTTGATTCATATCAAGTGTAAATCTTTGTGAACGCTAATGTGTCAAATTACAGTGAAAGCTGAAGCCTCATTACTAGTTCTTAAACTATGCAGTTTGTACTCGGTTGTAAAGAGACTCGCTCCGTCCATAATGTTGGTTAGTTTTTTTTAAACAGTAAAAAATAAAGATGATCTTCCGCGTAGTCGGCACTTTTGAGGAAGTAAAAATTGTTTCTGTAATCGACACTAGATACGGTGTTTTGGGAGTTGGTTAATGAGAATCTTATGATTACTGTTGTGTTTTCTCAACAGTATCTTTTTTTCTTCTTTTCTTTTGAAAATTCGCGGGTGTTAACAATTTTAAGACGAATATGGAGGTCATTCAGAAAACCTTTAAAATAACATAAAATATTTGTATCTTTCACTCAGAAGAATATTACATGAATTTTATCAGTATAGATCATTTTCGTCTTTAAGTTGTTATTACAGATCATTTTGACGAGTGTCTTTGGCCGTTCTACTATCATTTAGGTGACAAAAAAATTTTCCCACCTGAATTTCCCAGAACCCCCCTCCCCCCCCCAAAAAAAAGATCGGATCATTAAATAAATAATATAAAATTAATAAGTATCCCTATGAGAGTCACTGATATGTCCCTTTTCTGCTCTGTAACTTATGGGGCACACTGTATGCAATCCCGCCAAACATCTGCCATTATTGCAGTCACTTGGCGAGTCTTTACGGAATCTCAAATCTTTAATTCACTTTTCGAGTCCGGTCTGCGGTATCATCTACACCACGTCACACTAGACCATAAATCTAAAACTAAAAGCTTGCAAGCGTAATTGAGTTCACCATATTCGCCGGCTGGAAAATTGGTGCAGCGAACCCTCGCTTCACGCCTTTTATTGTAAGTGCCTTCTTTACCAGGATACCAGTCGATTTCCAACGACCGGTAGACCACTTCAGGAGTGAAGATAAAGTGGCAGTAAAACAATTCTTTGGACACTAGACAGTACCTGGAACAAAAAAAAGGCGATGATTAGTATGCAGCCGCAATACGGAGATACTTAAACGAAAAAATAATGAATGAAAAGCTACATGGAAATAATTGTTATAATCTTCTGGAAGTAAGCATGGCTTAAAAGGCACGCCATTAAGGTGATTCCTCCTAGGAAATGAACAAACATCGATAAGTCAAACAAATTTTGCTTTTCACTTTTTGTAAAATACAGCGGTGCAACAGTGTAGAAGCATACTTCAGCAATCGGTTGGCGAAACAGCTCTTCCGAACCCCTAAATTAAAGGGAAATGAGACTTAGCGCGAAAATTCCAGTTCCATTTCACTAATCAAATGCGATTTCCGAAATCTGATTGAGTTTTTTAAACGTATCGTAGCACCGAACGGCAGTCAGATATTCGGCAACGTCTAAAGAATCACAAGGCATTTTCCTCATGATTTGTAGGAAGAAAAAAAATCGAAATTGATTCTGTGATCAGATTTTAAATCAAAACTTCGAAAGTTTCGTTTAAGATCACTTCTGAGAGAATGTTGTGATTTTAAGAATCAGGTTCGAGCAAAGCCAATTCGAAAGTGAAAAGCTCTACTTGGAAGCCAAGGAAATAGTGTCTATTTCATGAATTCCTTCTGAGCCTTTTTTCCCGGTTATATTTATCCGTCTTGTAATATTTGAATTCCCGCTATCATTTAATCTTATTGTTGGCTCAAAACTGGAAAACATGAACGTCCACCTTTGTTACCTCATTTTTCAAGGCTCGAGTCATTTTTCGAGACGCGAATCGATTTTATTCTTTCCCTCCACTCGAAGTCCGGAAACAGCGATTAACTTTAATGATAATTTTTCGACGATAGCCGTGACAGACAAAACGATCGGTTAAAAATTAAAAATAACATTAGCACTGGGACAAGGTTGCCAAATTTGAAGAACCTCTCTTCAAATCCACAATTAAAAGGAACTTTGCGCCAGAATTATTGTAAAAAGTGGCAACTCCAAGCGTGAGCTCAGGAGCCGCAACGCTGCATATTAATCTTCAAAACGGAGGATCCAATGCTTGGGAGGAGGGGAAGAGAGTAAAAAAATGAAATCCAAATAAAAATAGGGGAAAACAACTAAAAATACGATAGAACCGGGTACGTAATGAATAAATCAAGCTTCCCCTCTGGTTCATGCGGGAGTCACTCAAGTGTGACCTGGAGGGCGGGCGGGGTTGTAGGGAAGGGGGGAGGGCGAGCACCGACAAGAAAAATGATAATGGGATGCGGTTTGAAGACAGCGAAGATTTTGAGAGTCAAGAGGAACTTGACATTTGGAGACTCTTTAAGTCTTTAGTCTCGGTGGAAATTCGATCGAAAATAATGATTTACGTTCTAAAGTCTGCTGAAATCGATTCATCATTAAGGTGTTTTGAATTCCGTTGTGAAACTTCTGGCACTTACAATTAGTTATGTTTATGGTAAAGCGTGTATGCTGCACGCCCTCCTTAAAACATTTTCATCAGTCAGTTATAATAAGTTTATTCTCTACAGGGCTTCCTGATCACCAAAAAAATAAATAAATAAAAAAAAGTACACGTTTATAAAAATTAAAAAATATTACAATATTTTGAAACCCAGCACTGGCCACCGAGCGTTTCCCTAATCTGCCGTGCTAAGGAAAAACGCCGTATGAACATTCGAGAGTTGCCAAATTTCCCTCGATAAAATATGTATTTTTGAAGAGAGTTATGAATATTTTTCCGGAAAAATTTTCCAGAACTTTAGGGAAAATTGCTAACAAAATTATCACTTAGCACAGCAGTAATGTCCACGCACTAGAGCTTCCGACTTGTTTCTGCTTGATTTTACCACTCTGAATGGTTTGACTTTATCCTTGTTCCATCGGGAATGTCAATTATTTCACATCCAATTGGCACTCCCGAGCACCCAGCTTGCGGAATCTGTCCAAGAAGAGGGAAAAAATTACCCTGCGGTTAAATGATATTTTTTTGTGGGAGTCACGTTTGAAGTTCTTTGATTTCGGAGTCCGCGGCCACACAGCGCCGCGCCGCGACGCTTTGGGAGCACAATGCCCTCTTTTAATTAGGAATTTGCATCAGTTTTAGCCGCTTCTGGTCTCTGTCTGTCTAGGCGTCTCGCGAAATTCTCAAACATGACAGGGTTGCCTTTGTTGTAAAAAAGGAACGCCTCATAGTGCTAGTGATTGCGACGTTCAAAAGGCATGGTTGCCGTTTTAATATATGAGAAAAATCATAATTTCCCGAGACAAATTGGACTTCATTTTGAAATTAGGAACTACGATTTCTGCCTCATCCGTAAAAACACTTATGGTATAAAACTAATGGTACATACGTTGTTTCTCACCTGAGCCAGAAAGTTTAGTTCCGAATTGCGAAAAGTAGTCCAATTAATCTCTGGGACAAGTTTTTATTGATCTCAAAGTAGTCTTCTGATTTTTAAGTTTTTAAAAAATCAGTTCAGACCTCTCCATTACTTTTTCAGAGTGGTGAGTATACGCGTGCTTTTCTGTACACTGCAAAAGGAATGGAGACGGATCGAGAAATTTGGCAACACCGGATTCCCTTAATTTAAACCTATGTTAAACAATCGATTCTTGTCGGAACACCTGGCTCCTCCGAGAATCGATACATTTCCTTGGGTTTAAATGGGGAAAAACAATGTTGCCAATTTGCTGGATCCGCCAATGTGGAGTCAAAATAGCATGTTTTCGTTGCGCGTAGGCATTTTTTTGCGTGCGAAAAAAAGGACAGAGAGCCACTAATTTCTTCGAAGGGTGACATTTCAAGGTTGGCTGAATAGTTCGATGATCCGAAAGAAGTTAGGGGGCAATTGTATTTCATGGGACGGTCACGCAATATTTCAAGATTGGAATGGAATTCGTTTTTATCCTCGAATTATTATGCCTCGACTCCTTGTTAATGAAATGTTGGCTTCCGCAAGAATTTCGCAATAGACTGATATTTTTTATTTCCTTGTAGAAATTTCCTTGTAGAAATCTCCCTACCTTGGAGCTTTTAAATTTTCGAGAAGTTTTATGTTTCAGATTAGCATTCTTACAACTGCAGAAAATTGTGAGTGTTGCCGATTAGTGGGTGTAACTGGATAGTGTTCACAAAAGAAAAATAAATAAAAAACCCGAATATCTTTGAAGATTTCAAGAGTAGGAGAAATTTTTATTCAATTACTATGCATTACCCTCCGTTAGCGCTCAAATATTTTCTTACCACGAGCAGACGTTGGACTCAATCAAACCTAACAATAGGATATTTGCCTCCTTGGTCAATATTTTCTTTGATGCAATTATTCCGACACATATATGTACATTGTTGCGTTATTTCTAAATGAAGGCGCACGCTAAAAAATACCTTAGATTCAGTTTACAGCACCCTCAATATTAAATGCGTCATTTTTTCCATGTGATACAAAACAATCTACACAGATGCACGGCATTGCTTTATTTCTAATTGAAGGCGAAACTTATGAATAAGCGTTTCAAGACTCTCATTTGGTTAATATAGATGCTCCTAGTTGGTGCTAGTGGTTAATAAAGAAGCTCAAAACGAGAGGAATTTCCCCTCAATTAATCATCTGAGGAACCATGAAATCATTTTTAAAGAAGGAATTCCATCTAAAATTCTTCACTGTGCATGCAAAATCTGCATCAAATGAGGAGAAATTAAAGACACTGGCAATTATAAACTTTTAGACTAGTTTCTTTTGGAAGGACGAAACACATTCAATCTCCCCTGTGGCTCATTTTTGTGTGTCTATACGAGTCTGACCACTAATTTGCAAACCAAGCCATGACATGATTTTTAAATTTACAATAGAGAGACATGCGGTCGTTAAATTAGAGTTGGCCATAAAAATCCGCTTTTTGTTTTCATAAGTCATAAATTTGTTAATTAAACAGTCTGCGCCAGACAGTTGTGGGCCTCGAAATCTCACACATCATGTGCGAAATATTTGCAACTGTGAGGCTGTAAGTGTAACAGCTGCCGAGAGGTTGGAGAAGGAGAAGGGGAAAACATTTACAAGAGTCAAGGCAATAAATAGTGGTATTAACAAGCGTGAAATGCCTTTGACGCTGCACAAACACCAATTTAAAACGGCTGTATTTTACTGATCGCAAAATCCGTGATACTGATCCACTACCGCCACTACCGGTTTTGAGTGGGGCTGTTCGAAATCGGAACACGGGCAGCTTTTCTACAGAAAAACGACGTAAGAACATTCAGACATTGCCAAAAATACCCATATAAAATATTTATTTTTAGGAAAGTTGAAGATAATTTTCCTCAAAATGATTCGATACTTTGGATTAAATTGCATTAATTTCCTGAGAAATTGACAGAAAAACATAATCAAGTTTTCTTGAAGGTTCATTTCCTTATCAAAGGAAATTTTGCAACACTGAAGGCTGTTACGGGGTTCTTCTTCAACACGGCAGGGGTGTGTGCATATTGTGATACGCAACTCAAAACACACGCGTCCAGACTCAGTTGTCTTAAAACAATATCCATTCCACCCCTTGTCTTTTAAATCTGATTAGAGAGCGGAGAGGGTCGAAGATTTCGGGGCTGATGCTTGCGAGAAAGGGTACCGCCAGGACGTGCGTGACGCCATAATTTCTGGTCCTTTATCTCGCATCGCATCAAAATCAACCCTTGTTTTCCTTTCAAACCTTTTAATTCCAGATTCGGCCACTCTGGCGGGTGGACGCATCTCCGGGAATGGGATCGGGGTAATTTTGATTCCCGAAATAAACCCTCGATGATCTGGAGCCAGTCTCTTTTACTGCCGTGCTGAGGAAAAACGCCGTGTGAACATTCCAGAGTTGCCAAATTTCATTAGATAAAATGTTAATTTTTGAGGAAAGTTACGAATATTTTCCCGAAAAATTGTCAAGAACTCCAGGTACAATTGACAACAAACTAATCTGAAAAATTGGAAGAAAAATATTAACAAATTTTCCCGAAA